CTGTGATAGATATAGATGATAGATGATAGACAGATGATAGATGATAGATAGATAGATAGATAGATAGATAGATGATAGGTAGATAGATAGATAATACACTTTTAGCACATGAAGGTGTTTAAAAGTTGAAACATTAAGCCTGACTCCTCTGTTCTTCATGCATTGTGGGGAAAGGAGTTGAGGACAAAGGCATAGGACTTTTTTTTTTTTTTTTCCTTCAGCTGTATGAGAGGAAATGTGTTAGGTATGTCAAGTACAACCCAGAAATAAAGAGTTCTTGTTCATATTTGCATGCAGATTCTACAGTGAGATTACCTCACAAACTGCTCCTACCCCAGCATGGAGCAGTGGCCATGCCAAAGTCAACAAAGAGATAAAGCATGTTTGGGCAGAAAGAGAGCTAAAAATTTCAGTTTCCAGTGCTTAAGTGGGACTTGGAGGGCCGGTACTAAGTTTAGTTAACGGGCTTGCCTTGGAGTCCATGGAGCAAGGCATGTAGAAAATCTGTAGCAGAGGCTTGGAAAACCAGCTAAACCAAGAGTTCATACCGTGTATACCAAATTCTGAAGTGGCCTAAAATGCTAACAAGCATTTTATCAAGACCCATCTTAATGCAAATTGGACAATAATATCCACAATACCTAACAGTTGGGGGCGATTCTCCGTGGTGTTTCTACATGTCTTATAATAGGCTTTGTACTGGATTGTTTTGTTATGGATGTTTGTGCAGCAAACAATAGTTTGTGGAGTTTTGGAGGCTGGAGATAGTGTCTCCATTTTATGGCAGACAGTAAATTTGTTTACTAACCAATATTAATAAAGATAAAGAAAGCCTCCCTGCCTCCTTTGTTTGTAATCCAGAGTTATAAAAATATCTCTCTTTGGACAAGAGGAAGACAAGGTTGCTGGCAATCTTCCTACAAGATTGGAGGTTTTCTGATCTCAGAGAACCTCAGCTAAGAAACACAGTCCCATGTGCACAGATGTGACTGAGACCCCTCTGTATCACCCCCGTGTGACTTGAGGAAGGAAAAGAACAGATACAGACATGAAACTCAAGCTGCTTATTGTGCTTTGAGTAAATCCATGAGTGCATTGTTTCTTTCCTGACTGAAGCTATGGAAGAGTTGACTTAACAGCTTCCTGTGTCTTAGGGATTATTTAACTGTTTGACACTAACCAAGCCAGAAGACCAAACCTAGAAATGTAGAAGCTGCAAAATTTATCTACAAATGTTAATACAACTAGTACCTATCATGCAGATATGAAATATTATCATAGAGACAAAGCAGTTAGCAGAAGTTTTACAGATCTGAGGACCCCCTTTTCTGCTACCTTGAGCTTTGCTACTGTCACGTCCTCCTCTAATCATGCTGTCACTGTAGTTTGGTAAAATGTTATTGAGAAGGGCATGAATTGTAATATCTGAAAGACCTGGATTCAGAAGTCAGTTCTGGACTCCAACTGCTATTGGCAAATTGCTTGATCTCTTGGACACTCACTGTTTTCATGTGTAAAATAGGGTTAAATAATGCATTTTTCACAGCATTATCATGAAGATAATTTATTTTAAAAGATTTTATTTATTTATTTATTTATTTGAGGGAGAAAGGCGGGGAGAGAGAATGAGCTGGGAGAGGGAGTGAGAGAAGACGAATGAGCAGGGAGCCCATCCTAGGGCTCAATCCCATGACCCTGAGCTCATGATCTGAAGGTAACCAGTTAACCAACTGAACCAGGTGCCCCGTGAAGAGCAATTTTTTTTTTTTTTAAAGTTGAGGTGCTTCACTAGTAGCCTCAGAGATGTTCTTTAAAATAAGTTTGAATTTTTAAAAAAAAGTGATTTGTTTTTTTAAATAAATTTTTAACATATTAACTTAGCTGCCATTCTACTATATATGCTAAATTAAACAGATGTTCTTTAAAATAAGTTTGAATTTTTTAAAAAAGTGATTTGCTTTTTTAAATAAATTTTTAACATATTAACTTAGCTGCCATTCTACTATATATGCTAAATTAAACAGAGAGTTTTCAATATTATATCACTGGTCTTCACTGTAATTCTGTGAGGTAGGTGTTCTTAACTCCTATTTCACAGATAAGAAAATTGAATCTTTAAACATTAACTAACTTGTCAAACATTATCCAGTTAATAACCCTTGAAGTTGAGTTTGAACACAGGTCTCTATGTTGCAAAATCTATGCTTTCTCCATAACAGTTTTACTAAACTATAGTATTTTAAAAAATGGCGGGGGGATGCCTGAGTGGCTCCTGGGTAGCTCAGTGGGTTAAGCCTCTGCCTTAGGCTCAGGTCATGATCCCAGGGTCCGGAGATCCAACCCCACATCATGCTCTCTGCTCAGCAGGGAGACTGCTTCCCTTCCTCTCTCTGTGCTTGCCTCTCTGCCTACTTGAGATCTCTGTTTGTCAAATAAATAAATAAAATCTTTTTTAAAAATGTGGGAAATTGATAAAAGAAAAATCACCCAAAATCTTACCAGATGATTACAGTAATCACTATTCTTTTGACAACTATTTGCATCATTTAATTATTATAAATACTTCTTTGATTTTTTTTTTTAGTCATCAAAATATCTATCTAGTTAGAAATGTTTTGGACCACATCATTTTTATTGATATGGAACTCTTATTTAACATTATATTTAACTTCAAAATGTTCATTTTTTTCAACTATGGAAGACATGATTTTCTGGAATTTATTTAGGAAAATTTAACTTTAATTTGCTAATTAAAATTTAAAAATGAAATCAGAAATTTATCCACAATGAATACTTCACCTCTTCTTTAGTGATTTAAAAAAGAAGCAACGTCAGTTTAAAGTAAATGGGAATGAAGAAAGAAATAATATACTCTCTGACATTAAAAAAAATCCTCTTATTCTAAGAAGATACAATGAGTTAGTTCTTAGTAATAATTTTAAAAGACAGCTCATTTTAAAGGACGGAAGAGAATAAAACCTACCTTTCTGGAGAATTTTTAAAATCAATAACCAAAATTATGGTGTTCTCTCAAAATACAAACCAATCCCTATTAAACATGAGAACAAAAAAAAATGAGAACAAATATTTTGAAAAGAATTATTTCATATATTCAATAGAACCCTCGAAAGGCAAGGTATATTGCTATATATTAATTTATTGAAACTCTTGTTATGACAGATGTTATGTAAAATTATTCTCAGCCTGTTCACATTTAAAGGTAACTAAACTTCACAGCTTGAAGATTTGAAGCAAAGAACAGGCTATCTCAGGAGAATAATAAAACTAGAGAGGCCAATTTGTGAAGGGCATTGGTTTCTACAGACTATTGTAAAATAGACTGCAATAGAAAAATTATTCAACATTGTTTTTGTATTTCATTGATCTTTCCAGGGATTTAGACAAAAACACAATTTTGGAAATTTTCACATTAAAGATACTCCTTATCCTTATAATTATTTATGTTTAATATAGATATCCATTTTTGCTTTACAGCTGATTAAACATTAATATGTTCCATCATTTTTAATAGCTTACAACTGTCTTTTGTAAGAGCTTTCAATATCACATCACTTAAACATGAATGCAGGTGATCAGTCTCAGAAAATACTCTGATGTAAATTTCATTTCAATCAGAGATTATAGATTGAAAATTGTAATAAATGGAAACTCCCACTTCAGCACAACTTGTGGAACTTGCTTAAGGTTTGCAACATCATGTGCTTCACACAACAGGTGAAATATCTTAATAATTTCATTGTATGAAATTTTTACCATAAGGTATTTTTCAAAAGCAATTTATTCAGCAGGTATTTAATGGGATTCTATATGCCAGGCATTTTTAGAGGCATTTTAGCATTTTAGCATTAAGACTGATAAAATGTCTCCCAACAATGTACAAATAAGGAGGTAATTATATAACAAATCAGGAAATGAGAAGTCCTACAGAGAAAAATAAAGCCAAGAAGGAGTACAATGTTATTATGATCCTATATAACCTGACCGAGAATGTCCAGATGGTAAAATAACATGTGGACAGGAACATAAAAGAAGTATATGAAAAATCACATAGAACTCTGGAAAAAGAGTATTTCAGGCAAAGAAGCTCTAACACCAGAGGCCAAAGTAGCTTGAGAAGAAAAAGTAAGAAAGAAAGTTAAGATGAAAACAGAGAGGGAGTAGGGGAAGGTGATTTGCATTATGTAAATATCATAGTCCATAGGAGGATTTGGATTTCAGTTTGAGTGAAGTGGGTTTTCAGCAGAGGAATGATATGTGGAGATTTATCTTTTAAAATGAGCACCTTAACTGTTTTGTGGTGTAGCCTATAAAAAAAAAAAAGGACTAGTTCTGGGAAACTAAACAGGATGTCATTGTAGCAATCCTATTGAGATACAGAGCTTTCTTGAACCAACATGATATGGACTTATAAACTGAACTCAGTAAGACTGCTGGTTGATTTCCTGTGGGGCATTGTAAGCAGAGACAACAATTTAAGGGATTTGTGATAAAGATGGGAATATAAATGGAGAATGGTGGAGGCTAAGGAAGTTTTTCTTTTCATTTCTTCTTTAAAATGAGAGGTGTCAGACATTATTTGTATTGTCTTGGGGAATGATCCAGTAGACAAGAGGAAAAAAATGATGATTCAGAGAAAATGGAGACACTTAATGTAATATCCTTGTGGAGGGAAGATGGGTTAAAACCCAGAGCAAGAGTGCATTGCTGACCTTATACAGGTTCAAAGACAGTCCATCCATTGTACTATCAGAGAAGCCTATGGTTCAGAGGCAGATGGTAGTTTTAGTATGAGTTTATGGGTAATTATTTTTCCAATAGTTCTTATTTTCCAGAAGAAAAAAGAAGGAATGTCATTAACTGAGAGTAAACGATAGATGCTGTGTCAGAAGTATGACAAAAGGAAAAGCATGAAATAGGCATGCAGAAAGAAGAAAATTTAACAATTAGGGGATAGGATCAAACTGGTAGGTAGCACTAACATATATGTGTGTGTGTATATATATATATATATATATATATATGTATGTATAACACACACATATACATAAAGTATTCTATTAAGAATTATGAGGAGGGATTATGAATACATTTTTATGTCATGTGGGACTTAGAAAAATTTAAAGAAATAGAAACCCAAGTTTGAGTTTTCCATATTCTATGTTAGGGCAGCTTTCAAAAAAAGCAATTTCTGTTGGGTATTAAAAAGGGCACATATTGCATGGAGTACTGGGTGTTATACGCAAACAATGGATCATGGAACACTATATCAAAAACTAATGATGTACTGTACGGTGACTAACATAACAATAATTTTTTTAAAGAAAAGATGATGTAATTATAATGCATTTATAATGTGGTTATAACACATTGATCTTTCACTGTGTAATTTTCCTTAACATGGGGACTTGTTGGGAATTTTTTTTTTTTTTAAGATTATTTATTTATTTATTCGACAGACAGATTACAAGTAGGCAGAGAGAGAGGAGGAAGCAGGCTCCCTGCCGAGCAGAAAGCCCGATGAGGGGCTCAATCCCAGGACCGTGGGATCATGACCTGAGCCGAAGGCAGAGGCTTTAACCCACTGAGCCACCCAGGTTCCCCTGTTGGGAATTTATTAATGAACTTATTTACACAAATATCCCGGAACTGAAGATGCTTAATAAATGTATTATAAAGACTTACTAAATTTAAAAATAACAATTTCCAAATATACGCAGAATATAATATCCATTGAAAAGTTTAAGTTGAAATTTTAAACAAATTTTCACCTTTGTCATTTGTCTTAGCAAAAATACCCAGAACAGAAAGCCTGATTCAAAGAGTTATACATAGATACTCCCTAAAAAGCAATGTAAGAAAGCAGGAAGATGGGAGAAATGATGTGAGGTAAAGAAAGGAGGAAAATATAGGAATGAGTTCATTAATGATGTGGCCAAGCTTCTTATCGAATGTAATTGCTATTTTTTTCCTGTGTTTTCAGAAGCCGTAAGATTAACTGTTGAAATAAAGGAGAATAAATGATCAGTTGGCTCCTTCCTAGGCCCTTACTTATCACTGGTCAAAATCTACCCGATGGGGCAATGTTGCCCACACTTCTCTTTATCTTACTATGACAATGCATAGGTCATAATAGGTAATCTTGCCTTTTCAGTTGATTACATATGCAGGCGTCTGGCTCTATAGTGACTCAGCACCACAAACATAGGAACAGCATTAGCTAATATTGATTCAACAACCTTATCTTACCAAGGGAAACAGGTTTGGTCACACACACACACACACACACACACACAGAAACCCCACCACCACCACCATGTGGAAAAAGAAGAAGAAGGAGGTGGAGGTGGAAGAGGAGGAGAAGAAGAAGAGGAGGAGGAAGAAAAGGAAGAAGAGGAAGAAGAAGAAGAATGGAAAGAAGAAAACATTTGCTAATTAAAGTAAGATGCTTTTATCTATTTCCTCCACTTAAAGGAGTACATTCAAAATCTATTTTCAACTTTCTCATAATTTTTGCTTTCTCTTCTCGCAAATAAGTTCATCATGGATATATTTGAAGAAATTCCCCTTTGGTTACAAAGTAATCCCTGCTCAAAACATAAAATTTAGAATTATGACATTTTGTGGCAAAAAGAAAAAAAAACTGAAATAGATTTGGCATGAATCAGCCATCACATTTTGCTTCCTAGTGATTTCAAGCATTCCTCCTTAAGAAAAAAAAAAGGCATTTTAAGGATTCATGATTAACAAAATTGGCTTCCAATGTATTATTTGCAGCTGTCATGTCCTTTCTTTTTAAATTCATAATTCATGCCTTTCCCCATAAATATTAAAATTTTCAAGGTTCTTTATAAAGCAAAATTCCTACTTTTTGAATGACAAACTTAAGTAAGGTTGGCTTATGATTGTAAGGAATATTCTCACAATAGTTCATTATGACATTTGTGATATTTAACTAAATAGATTTAGAGCTATAAACCCCTAGAGACTAACTCTATCCAAATATATGTAAAGTTTTTGTAGATTTTTTTTGAGCCTGTAACATTTTGTCTTACAGAAATAATGTTATTAACACTCACCAATCCACAAACTGGCTGTCTGAGGTCTAAAGAAGACATAAACAAATGGAGAAAGATACAATGTTCATGGGTTACAGAAGACATGGTTAAAATGCCAAGTCTTCCCAAACTGATCTAATCTACAGACTGAGAGCAAACTCAGTCAAAATCCCATCAAACTCATGTAGTAGAGATAAGCAAGCTCATTCTAAAATTTATATATAAAAGGGAATTACCTCTAAAAACCAAAATATTTTGAAGGGTAGAACAATCTGAATGACAGTGTTGTAGGCTTAGAAGAACGCTGTAGTAATCAAGTCAACTAAGGATACACAAATAGGCAATACAAACATACAGAAGTGAATAGGAAGTCCAGAAATAGATTGGCTTACATGATCAGTTGGTTTTTAACAAAGGTCAACAAAGTAATTCAACTGGAAAAAGACCATTTTCGCAACATTTTAATTTTTTGGAGTAATTGGAAAGTCATATGAAAGAAATGTATCTTCTTCCCATTCTATATACATAGATATATGAAAAATTTCTCAAAATGGATATTGACCTAAATGTAATAGTTAAAACTATTTTTTAAAGATAGAATATACAAAAAAAAAATCACTTTGTAATTGCACTACTGGATATTTACACCAAAAATAAAAAGACAGTAATTCAGAGGGACACATGTACCCCTGTTTATAGCAGCATTGTTTATAATAACCAAATTATGGAAGCAGCCCAAGTGTCCACTCATAGATGAATGGATAAAGAAGATTTGGTTTATATATGTGGCAATATCTACATATCTACATAGAAAGATACGGGTGTGTATATGTAAATAAATATATATATATATGTTATGTATATATATTTATTTACATATACACACCCATTTATTATATATATATAATGGAATATATAATTCCATTATATATATATAATGGAATATTATTTAGCCATGAAAAAGGAATGAAACCTTGCCATTTGTAACCATATGGATAGAGCTAGAGAGTATAATACCAAGCAAAATCAGTCAGAGAAAGACAAATATCATATGATCTCACTCATATGTAGAATTTAAGAAACAAAACAAACAAAGGGAAAAAAATAGGAGGGAGAGTCAAAGCAAGGAACACACTATTAACTAGAGAGAACAAACTAATGGTTATGAGAGAGCAGGTGGCTGTGGGGGGAATGGGTGAAATAAGTGATAGGGAATAAAGAGTATGCTTCTTGGGGTGCCTGGGTGGCTCAGCGGGTTAAAGCCTCTGCCTTCAGCTCAGGTCATGATTCCAGGGTCCTGGGATCTAGCCCCTTATTGGACTCTCTGCTAGACAGGGAGCCTGCTTCCCTTCCTCTCTCTCTCTGCGTGCCTCTTTGCCTGCTTGTGATCTCTATCAAATAAATAAATAAAATCTTAAAAAAAAAAAAGTGTGCTTCTCCTGATGAGCACAGGGTAATGTATGGAATTGTTGGATCACTATATTGCACACCTGAAACTAATATAACACTGTATGTTAACAATACTGGAATTAAAAACAAAACAAAATAAAATGAGTGTTTCCTAAATATTACCAAAAAACCTGAACCAAAAAAGAAAAAAAAAATTGCAATTTTGCAAGATATAAATCCTCTGTTCTGAGAAATACAATGTTAAGGAAATGAAATTTCAATCCAAAACTAGAAACAAATTTGCAAAATAGGTATGTGGTAATCAATCTATATAAAGTTACATAAAGATTTATTACATTTTTATAATAAATGACAAGCAAACCAGTAAAAAATGGGCTAAGGTATTGAACATGCATTTCACCAAAAAGATATAAGAATGTTCAACAAGCACATGAAAACTTGCACATTATTACTTATCAGAGATATACATATTAAAACCACAATGTACTATCATTAGATACTCTTTGTAATGGCTAAAATTAGAAAGACTGACAATAACAAATGTTGATGAGGATATTAAGGAAATTGAACTCTTATTTTGCTGATGGGATTGCCAAATGGCACAGCCACTGTGAAACATTCATTTATTATTATCAAATTAAACATACACTTGGTAACTATTAAATATATACATGAATAACCTGAACTTGGTAATTATTACATATACTTGATAAACATATACTTGATGACTATTATTATCCAGTTAAGCATATATGTACAATATGACATAGCAACCAATTACCAGGTATTTACCTGTGAAAAATGAGTACATTGTACCACATAAAGATTTGTATGTGAATGTTCTTAGCAACTTTATCCAGCCTCAAACTGGAAACAACACTAATGTCCGTTAACTGGTGAATGGATGGATACATGTTTTATGGTATATATATAATTGAATACAGTATTAGCAGTAAAAAGTAAATACAGATAGTCCCTTCACTGTAGATGAAACTCAAAAGCATCATGCTAAGTGAGAGATGACAGATATAAAAGGCTGTGTACCCTATGATCTCACTTATGAGAAATTATAGAAATGGAAAACACCATCGTGACAGAAAGCAAATCTGTGGTTGCTAGGTGACAGGGATTAGGGAAGGAGTTCTATTAAAAAAAATACATGTGGAAACTTTTTTGGGCAATGGAAATATTTAATATCATGATTTTGATAATAGTTAACATAACTACATATATCTGTTATAATATATCAAATTACGGGTTTTATTACATATAAACTATATACCTCAACAAAGCTGATTTTAAAAATCAGTAAAAGTAGCCAATTCTGGAGGAGGAATATAATTTGGGCCAAGAATCTCTGAATTAGACATACTGAAATTGAGTTTGTAAACTGGATTAATCATTTGAATCATATTTTAAAATATTTCTTTCTATCTCCTATATATACATTTAGCAATTCTCTAAAAGGCTATTATCCAGACATCTCTTTTTCATACTTCAGTTGGTACAGAAGTGATTTTACATGGAATATAAATTCTTATAGCTTAAT